TAGGGGGGTAGGGGGAGGCCTGGCCTTTCCTGGAGCAGCCACACCAAGACAGCTCCTCCTTTGCCCCAAATCAGCCCCATCTGCACTGGCCGGACCATGCCCAACCTCACACCCCACCACTCACCCACCCCTGGGAATGAGTCTGTTGAAACCCAATGCAAAGAGCATTTTAATTTATAACATTCCTGTAGTAGCAGGGTGTCTGTCGCTTTCATGCCACTCAAATCTAGTACCTGCAAACTTAAATTCTCTGCTCTCTAAGCTCATTCATTTTCACCCATGCCTGGAAAGAGGCTTTGTGTAGTTAATCCTTTGGGACTAGGATCCTGAAACTGGAACTTGAGAGAAGAGGCACCACGGGTAGCTTGGGGGCAACCTCAGCATCCTAATCTCCAGCTCCCTCCTCAAGTCACCCCAGCAATCATGCCCTCGAGGGAAAAGTGCCCGCTAGACAGAAAGCAGCCCGCAGTTAACCCCACCAACCTGATGTCCCTCCCAGAAATTCGGTAACGGAGAGAGGGGAGCGGTAAGAACAGAGAACGTGAACTCGGCGACAGGGGAGGAGAGAGGGGGCAGGGGCCATCTGTCAGCACTACCTATACAGGGTGTGTCCCCAACTCGGCCGGCCATTTTATTCACGATGCCCCCCGTTGAAGTGGCATAGGCCACGTCTCCTTTGGAGTCCAAGGCCACGGCACCCACGGTTCCCAAGTTTCTACAAAAAGTAAACAGGAAAAAAGTGACAAAATGAAGACGAGTAACAATGTAGCTCAATACCTGCAAATTTCTACATTGTGTGCAAACTGCAAATGGGACACATGTTGACTCCAACATTCCGGACTCAGAAACAGCACCGCAACTGGGTCCAGGGATCGAGCCTGCAACCAAGGTACATGCCCTTGGCCGGAATTGAACCTGGGACCCTTCAGTCTGCGGGGTGATGCTCTAACCACTGAGCCAAATAGGCAGGGCTGACTTAGTTAAGAAATGTAAATTATCAAACATTTGTCCGACTCTCGCACTTGAACGACCCCCCAAGCGTGAGCCACAGATGCACTTACTTTTCTTGGTCTGCTTTCTGAGCATCTTTCTCCTGCTTCTCTTTCTCCAGGCTTTTCCTGCTTCTCTCTGTTACCAGCTGCTCCCCAGGAACTGCTGGGACCCCCATGGTGGCTGCAAATTCTGCAGCACCTCGGTCAGTGAGGAAACAGTGAGGTGTCTGGACCAGAAAGAAATGGAAACATGGTTAGTTTTTGAAAAAGTTGAAATATTTGCCCAGTCGCTGTGGCTCAGTTGGTTGAGCGTCGACCCATGAACCAGGAGGTCACCAGTTCAATTCCCAGTCAGGGCGCATGCGCAGGTTTCAGCTCGCTCCCCAGTAGGGGGCGTGTAGGAGGCAGCTAATTGATGTTTCTCTCCCCCTCTCCCTTCCTCTCTCTGAAATCAATAAAAACATATTAAAAAAATGCAAACTTCAGTGCTTACTTTTCTGAATGTTGAAAAGAACCTGGCTCTTTTGTATTTAAAAAAACAACAACAATAAAACGACGGTATATTTACTAGGAATGTGACTTACATACGACCTTTTTTTTCTTTTAATCCCCACCTGAGGATATGTTTATTGATTTTAGAAAGAGAAGAGAGAGAGATAAACGATCAGTTGCCGCCCATACACGCCCGGACCAGGGATAGAACCCGCAACCTTTTGGTACAAGGTATGATGCTCCAACCAACCGAGCCACCCAGCCAGGACCATGTATGATCTTAAATTTAGAGAACTTAATCCACTTTATTTGACATATGCTATTAAACAGCTGGTCTGTTTGGTTTTGTGTGTTATGTTCTACAGGTTGAGAGAAGGCTGAATAGGACAATAACATGAGAACAGAGTAACCACTGGTCAAGTGACTACTAGTCAAATTACATCGGCCACAGGGTCAGAACCCTGGCTCACTGGAGAAACGAAACCTTACTTCCGTTCTTGTACATAATTTTAGGAGAGTGATCTCAAGTATGTCCCTGTAGTCAGGCCCCGTGTAGTCACTAAAGGACCGCAGTGACAGAGCCTTAGGGAAAGGATGCTTTGGCCACACACACCTTCTCCATGACGAGCCTCGCCAGCTTAATGGGGTTTGCGATACAGCGGACGGCAGACACGGCTCCTGAGGACAGGTCCTTCCCATTCATGATACTGGCATCCATTTCAACCTCGCCATTTACATTCAAGACTGACCCACAACCTAGACCCAAAAGGTGAAAGCAAGAATTAAGAATTTATAAATGGGCGTTGCTCAGTGGTTAGAGTGTCGACCTGCGCTCTGACGTGTCTCGGGTTTGATTCCCAGTCAAGGGCACATGCCTGGATTTTGGGTTCGAGCCCCAGCCCAGGATGGGGCATGTGTGGGAGGCAACCAATCCAGACACGCTGATGTTTCTCTCTCTCTACCCCTCCTCCCTTCCACTCTCTAAAAATCAATGGTGAGGACTGACAACAACAACAAAGATTTCCTGATACTCTTTTCCCTAACAAATGTTGGGTGGGTTGCATAATTCCAAGAAATATTTTAATCCCTAGATCTTAGGTTTTCCATTTTAAAATAAAGAGGAAATGAGTGTCTTCCAGCAAGTTACTTAACCTTTCTGTCCCTTAGTTTTCTCATTTGAGAAAGGGGCATAATAATTACACCTAAGACTACAGTGCAGATTAAGCGAGTTCATCATGCAAGTTTCTTAGACCACTCACTGTTTGGTACATAGTTGGCACTCATGGTAGTTATGATTATTACCACTCTAATCGACTGAGTGAAAGAAGGCAAACACAGAATACATTCTACATCACTGCATTTACATGAAATTACAGGGAATGAAAATGAATCTATAATGACAGAAGCAGATAGGTGGGTGCCTGGGGCTGGGGATTATAGGGGGAGAGTAGCTGCGAAGCAACAGGAAGCACCTTTTAGGGGTGATGGGAATGTTTTCAATCCTGATTGTGGGGTGGTTACATGGGTGTAATATACATTTGTTAAAACTTAAAATGGACACAGTTTGCTGTATGTCGCCTACCCCCAGCCTCCCACAAAAAGATGTAATAAAAAGCCTCTTGGGATGTGAATTCTAGGAAGCAGGTTAAAGGGGGGGAGGGAGGGACGTGGAAAGGTTTAAAAATTATTAAAGCAGCCCGGTAGGTGTGGCTCAGTGGCTGAGCATGGACCTAGGAACCAAGAGGTCAGGGCACAGGCCCGGGTTGCGGGCTCGATCCCCAGCAGGGGGCCTGCGGCAGACAGTGGATCAATGACTCATCACAGATGTCTCTCTCTCTAAAAGTCAGTAAGATATTAATAATAACTTTAACAATAAAAAAGCTCTTAAAGCAGCTAGGTCCACAGGCCGTAAGGGAAGCCTGAATCTGTCAGGCGAACCGACTTCCACCCCAAGGCCGGTTAGACCCGGCACCTTAGGGCGGCCCGGTCGCTCCGGAGACGCCGACCCGGTGACCCGCAGCGCCAGTACCTGCGTTGAACTCGGGGTCGTCCTCCAGGGCGGCCACCGCGGCTTCCACGGCGTCCACCGCGCTCCCGCCCCGCGCCAGGACCAGGTACCCCGCGGCGGCCGCGCGGGACA